ACGACATCACGTGATCGCCTATGCTAGCATGACTCTCAATGAAGCTCAAGTTAATTACACTACTACCGAAAAAGAGTTTTTAGCTATTGTCTTTGCATTGGAAAAGTTTCGTGCGTATGTTGTTGGTTATAATATTATTGTGTATAGTGATCATGCGGCATTGAGACATTTGTTAGCTAAAGCTCAATCGAAACCTTGATTAATTCATTGGTATTACTTTTGCAAGAATTTGATGTTGAGATTATGGATAGAAAAAGGGTGTGAGAACATTGTTACCGATCATTTATCTCGCCTTACATTGCTTTCGAGTTCTTGTGATTTTCCCAATCTTGATGATTCATTTCCTTACGAGCATGCTTTTCGTGTTGATCGTGTGCCTTGGTATGCCGATATTGCTAATTACTTGGCTAGTGGTATTTTGAATGATGACTTATCCTTCCAAGAATGGAAGAGATTCATTTCTAAGTGTAGGTACTTTCTATGGGAGGATCCGTACTTTTTCCATCTCGGAAAGGATGAGGTCATTAGACGGTGTGTACCCGAGAAGGAACAACACGATATCTTGACCGCTTGCCACTCGTCCAATTGTGCTTGGGGTTGATTGATTGATTGATTGCTACTTGAAAAATCGTGACTTTACATTTAGCTCGGTTATTTAGTAGTAGGATTTCGGTTTTGGATCTTAAGCATGCTAAATGGAGTTCGTTTCTCTTACTTTTGCTTTTGTTTCTTTTGACTTTGTTCACCGGTTTAGTTGGTAGGATTCCATATTTCGTTCACTTGCTTGTTTGCTCGTTTACTTGCTTTCTCTAGTCGTAATTAGTGTTAATCGTCCTCAACCCAAATTGATTAGTATGTTTAGGACTTTATTTTTTCTTTTTGTGATTTGAGCAATCGAATAGTAAGTAAAGCTCCGAATAGCCTTCCCTCGAGATCGACCCGAGTCGGGTAACTCGGTTATCCTTTACCCACCGTAAAATTTTACTAAACATTGACCACCATGTGTATATTTATTTACCATATTGTCATTAATGATTGACCATTATTCATTAAAGTTTGACTTGATCATATCCATTGATATAATATATTCAATAGTCCAGATTCATTCTCATTCATTTGGACCATTGAATATATTATATCAATGGATATGATCAAGTCAAACTTTAATGAATAATGGTCAATCATTAATGACAATATGGTAAATATATATATATATATATATATATATATATATATATATATATATGAAAAATTATTACATGAAATAATCTAAATTGTACATATATTTTATTTTATTATTAATATTGTTAATGCGATAATTATCTTAAAAGATTAATTTATACTATATATAATTCATATTGTAAATTTCAAATTTATACTTTTTTTTCTTTGTTGATACTTTTATGATTATTATCATTTCGATACTCAATGTATATATAAATTTAAACTGCTTATTATGTTTATATAATAATCACTAACATATGTTAAATTCCTCATTTATATTTTTCAATTGAAATCTAAAATCTCAGCTAAGAGTGAATAATGTAACAATAAATTATAAATATGATAATAATTATTATATAAGTTTATTATTTTAATTGTTATTTTAATATGCAAACTTTATAGTATATAATATATATGTATGTATATATATATATTTGTTATTTGTGCACGTGCATGAGATGAAATACTAATTATAAGACTAAGATTGAAGTTTTAGATAACGTGGCGCATTGGAGATAAATAAAAAAAGGTAGGTTTATGAAAGTTTGATTATTGAAGTTTCTCTAATAGTTGCCCCTCTATCCGTACGCGTATGTCCTCCTGCAACATGGATAGCATCTTGGCGCATGCGCAAAAAGTTTTCTGGTATCATTGTTACTTTTCACACAATCCTCCTTATATATTAATTCAAAATGTGTTGAGTCTAAATAGACTTGCATGTTTCGAGATTTTATGTGTCAAAATTATATGTGCTTTGTTATTGGTTTTGGGTAGATTTTAATTTATTTTTCATTAAAAACTAGTTAGGTCCGGGCTATCCATATATAAATATGTTGATTATTTATGGTAATGTTACATGTATTAATTGTATTTTAATATCATTTCATATTATAACAATTAAATAGTAAATGTATTTCAAAAGTTAAAAACTTCTGTCTTTTTTTATCAGTTTCACATATATAATATATCAAATTAATCATATTTTGATGAGTTTCGATTTAACACTCATATTGTATGTATAAAAAAAGATTATGTTTATCTTTATAACAATAATAAAATTATTTTTTAATATTAGCTAGAAAAATAAAATTATTTATCATTTAATATATTTATATTTCAAGTAGTTATATTAATATGGAAATTAGTACTGACTCGACTCAATCGAATAAGGACCCATAAAATCAGGGTGGAAGGGACCATGAGATTGAGCCGGTGATATTTACGACCATACAAATCTCGTTTCGTATGCTCGTAAATAGGGGAGTAGTTGATAGGGATATTAGTACCGACTCGACTCCACTGGATAAGGACCCATAAAATTGGGGTCGAAGGGACCATGGGATTCAGTCGAGGTCTAAGAGCGCCGGAGAATCGACCAGCTCATAGGGTCGCGCATTGGCCGATCGGCTTAGAAGGTCGAACGTGTTGACTTAGGGGTCGAATTAGACCCTTGGTCCGGAGGGTCGAACACATAGACCCTTGTCTCGGAGGGTCGAATACATTGACCCATGGCCAGGAGGGTCGAACACATAGACCCATGGTATGGAGGGTAAAACACATAGACCCTTGACCCGGAGGGTTGAACACATAGACCCTTGGCCCTGTGGGTCGAACACATAGACCCTTGGCCCGGAGGGTAAAACACATAGATCCTTGGCCCTGAGGATTAAATACATGGTCCCTTGGCCCGGAGGGTCAAATACATAGACCCATGGCCCGGAGGGTCGAAAATATAGACCCATGGCCCAGAAGGTAGAACACATAGACCCACATTGAACCTTGGCCCGTATGGTAGAATACATTGACCCATGGCCCGGATGGTAGAATACATAGACCCTTATCTCGGATGGTCGAATACATAGATCCATGACCCATAGGGTCGAACACATGGACCCACGGCCCGGAGGGTCGAACACATAGACCCTTGTCCCGAAGGGTCGAACACATAGACTCGTGGCCCGAAGGGTAGACTACATAGATCCATGGCCAGTAGGGTAGAACACATAGACCCTTATCCTTGAGGGCTCGAATTCATAGGCCCTTGGTAGATATTAAGGACCATTAAGGGTCGGGTCGAGTGTCGATATGCACGGCCGGGCATTGGGCTCGATCAATGGACGCTCGAGGGCGTTTGACTTTGAAATGAAGACCGTACGATTTAGCACTATATAAAAGGTGAATCAAGCGATATGAAGGCAATATTCATTTATTGTTATCATTGTTACATTCATTGCACATTATTCCTCTATTCTGAGATATTGTCTTGGGCGTCAGAGGGTCTTGCGCCGTAGAAATTCTAGCGCTTTTGCAGGTACAGATGAGCTTACGGACTTGGACCAAACTGATAGATCCACATTCAAATCGGAGACAACCTTTCGGAAGACCCAAGTCATTTATCTCAGACCATATCATATATGATATAAAAAATTACTATAATATAACACAAGTAAGTCACACAAATAACAAGTGTCATTCTAAAATATATAATAATATATTTTTGTTAAAAGGTAAATAAAATTTAAAGTAATTTTTATCATTAATTTTAAAATTTAAGAATAATTTTATAACAAGCACCCGTATAACACACAAGTGTTATACTAGTGTATATTAATGTTAGACTGGAGTGTGATTGGGTCCAACAACAGGGAAGAGAAAAAAGTAAGTATAAGGATATGTTTGGTTCAACGGAGGGAAAGGGAGGGGAGGAATTTTAATGGAAGGGAAGGAATGTGAGGGGAGGAGATGTAAAATAATTTTATCTTGTTTGGAGGGATTCTATAGGAGGGGGTTGAGGGAAAATGGTAAACCTTGTTTGGTTAGAAAATAAAAGGGAAGGAAAAATATTTTTGAATTGACTATTTTACCCTTAATGATATAAAAGATAGAACAATAAAATAACACTAATATTAAGGACATTAGAGGAAATTATTTTCTTCACATTTTCCTTCCCCTCCAAATCCTCTCAATTTTGGAGGGGAGTTATTTTTACTATTTGGAGGGATTTTAGTTCATAATTTTCACTCCCCTCTCCTCCCCTTATAAAAATTGAACCAAACAAGTGAAATATAAAATTTACTCTCCCCTCTCATCCAAAATCCCCAACCAAACACTACCTAAGTGTATGTATATCTCCAAAATGCACAAACAAACACACTATATACAAAATCGCAATAATTGTAATAAAACCCATCAAAAGATTATTGTATTCGAATCATTCACTGCACTCCAATCCAATATAGTAATAATATTTTGAATTTCAATCCAATAAGTTCAACTACTGATCAGACAAGTGAAACATTAAACCGCTAATTCCACGATCGTTTCAATTTTCAAATACCCACAATGTATATAAATGGTAGACTAAAATTATGATTAGTCCAACAAGTAAGAGAAAAATGTATGCATCACAAAGTATAGAAAACCAAAATATTTTGCAATAAAACCCATCAAAAGATTATCATATTCAAATCAATCACACTCCAATCCAATATGATATATATATATATATATATATA